AGGAATACGCCTACCGGTAATTTCAGACAAAAGATAGGGAATAGCTTTGTAATATTTCCCTAGCTTTAATTTTTTCAATGTCTTTCGTAGACTTTGTGGGGTTGGCTCTTCCAAATTGTCCATAATCTCCCGCGTGTCTAAATATACCGGACGTAAGCCTTGGATATGACTCATCCAGTCTCGGAAGTATTTCAACCTCTTATATGGCGTTTTCTTACGACCTCCATTAGCGTAATACTGTTCTTTGGTAACATTTGGCACCGCGTTACGAATATTCTTACCACACTCGTAACACTGTGCTGACGTATCCTCCTCTATCTGCATTTTTTTACCACAACACCAAAAGGGTTCTGGCTTGGGCATGACGACTCTAGGTCTTAGACAAATTATGCAAAAGTCATTGGTGAACTTCTTACATTCATGCATCGTATATTTATGAAATATCTTTCCCTCCATTTGCGACCCCAACAGAGCAGCAGTTAGGCACCTTTCGCGCTGCCGGCAGATCGCGCAAGACCCCCTGTTCCGCGGGTTACCGACCTCCAAAAACCCCAGGGGGGGGTGGGTTTTTTCGACTTGTGATTTTTGGCAATGCCGGCGCTTCGCGAGTCCGCCTAACTGCTGCTCCATTTCACAGGAAAAAAAACTGGATTCCCAAATTGGGAATTGTTGGGAATTTCCTTGAATTCCCAATTTGAACACCAACGTTGGGACTTATTGTCAAGAATTTCCTTCTTATACCCAATAGAAAAAAAAAATTCCCAACAAACTAAAATTGGGAATCAGTGCCATGTTCCCAATTTCGTTCTCTCTGAGAATTGGATGGGAATTCGTTGGGAATTCAAGGAAATTCCCAACAAATTTCCAATTTGGGAATCCAATTGCTGCAATAATAAACTGAACAAAAGAAAGCTGTTAAAGAGATTTTGGTAGGTTAGTAAATGATGCCATAATGCAAGTGTCCATGAATGAAAAATGGGAAGGATCAATAAAATCTTTAAATGAATAAAAATAGTGACTGAATTGAGAGAAAATATTAAGAGAAGATGCAGAGATATCAAAAATTATAGAACTTTCCTGAACTAATTTGCTTAAGTATGGACTAATTTTCCCTGCTAGCAGAGCCTATTTTCCTTTTGTTTTGGTTGAGAGAGAAAAATAGACTCTGCCGATGTAGGATGTTATTTCTGTTGAGCATGCGTGGCGTAACTTGGCAACGCTGTCATGATTTTGACAGCCGCTCTCGTCAAACAATGTTTGGCGCCATGATGGGTTACATTTGCTAATGCGCACTACATGTAATCAGTTAAAAACCGGTTTTGAAACTGGTTTTGTTTGTCCATGATTGTGGACGGCAGTGTATCAAAGGAAACGCTCTACATCGGCAGAGTCTCCTTCTTCCCTGCCTGAAAGAAGGGAGAGAAGGAGAAGAGAGATTCTGCTAGCAGGGAAGGACTAATTAAACAATGCTTTCAATACATTTACTGTATTTTATCAACACCAACCTAAACCATTGTTTCGTGTTCACTCAAGCAAATTCCAAAAAGGTCTCTTGAATGAATGAAAAATATTCTAATTATCAAATTACCACAAGATGAACATGCACAAGTTACTGATATTTTTAGTTGTATGAAGGGAGGGATTGGCCAGTCTTATATGCTTAGTTTCAAATTTAAGCCCGCGCACCGGCCCCTCACCCAACACACACATATTTTTAGGGTTTTCTGTATTCCTTYACGTGTCATTCCCTTGAGTTTTATTCCTCTGGGTATGTACTAGTCACTCTTGTGTAGTCTTATGTACATTTAACTCAAAACATTAAAAGAATCTTATCCTCAAGGGAATGACACATGGTCTGAAATGGAAAAACATTGCACCAGATCTAGAAAAGACGCCATTTTTGTATTATTGCTGTGTTCCTCCTACACAAAATTGAGGCAAACCCTGAGTAACGAAGAACTCGAAACTGGAGTAGTTTTCTAGTAACTAAGTAAAAAAAGCTTACCTTTTTCTTCTAAACATGTGCTGTTGAATGTGGACTTGTTTTTGGTGGTCAGCGTACGGTAGCATGCGCATTGCCTACGAAAGAATCCGGAGAAATATTTAGGTTAACAGTTGTCAATGAATTATTGGATATTTATTGAGTTTTTCAATGCATTTTTTTAGTTTTTCAGAGGTCAAGTCCATGATGAATGAGCTAGACGAGAAGTACAACCATTTGGTTCAAGTAATGGAAAGCGAGAAGACTGCAAAATGGCAGCTAATGCAACAGTGTGACGATCAAGCAGAAATCATTGCCATACTTAGAAATGAGGTAAGAACTCTTCATTTTCGACCCTTATTTACGAATTGAAACCACTGCTACCAAAATTCTACTTTTTGTAGTTCCTTTTACACACAAACTAAGCATTATTTTGCTACTTCCAAAGGAGTACTGCGGTTTTCGATATTCGACTACGAACCGGTAGATGCGAGTTGCACGCTGAAATTTGATTTTTCGCTGCCGTCAATCAAAAATATTCAGTCGGTATCTTTTATGTTCTTAAATGGCGGGAAAAGCCAAATTTCATATTATAAATACTAAAAGATAGGAAAGTATTTTTACTGCTTTAATTTTACAACCTATGTGTATTTTCTTTTATGACTTTTTCACTTTCTTTTGTTTAATTAATGACAAAAGAAGGTTTAAACAAAAGAAGGTGAGGAACTCGGGTTAAAATTGCATGCGCACTGAAACGATTCTTAAAGTATGACCTGGCTTATTCTCTTAACAATTATGGGTTTTTTTTTCGGTTAGCTCTCTTTTCACATGGGCGAAAAGACCCTTTGGATTGTTAAACAATAGATTGAATATATTGTATTACTGCCACGTTCTATTGTTTTATTAGCCTGCGTAGCCATGTGAACTAGTGCTAAGTGCCTATTTCACGCTGCAGCCATGTTGGTTTGAACGACAGATTTCACCAAGCGTAAAAAAAAACATTAACCAGAAACTAAAGAGTTGGTTTTGCGCATTTTGACGCAGGCGTACATGGACAGAAAGGGGTGCTAGGGGATTGTTCGCTAGATGGCGTGCATCTCTTCCTATGATCATAAAAGGACATGGTCGCAATGTTGGCTAATGTAACAAAACTGAAAAACCACTTAGACCAAATCTTCTGTTGAAGTCATCCACCGACGATGACGTCACATGCACCCCCAAAAAAGTAAATCTGTGTGGGGAAATTTTTCATTGCAGTGTCTTTTGTTATGTCAACCAACATGGCCCCATGTCTTTTTCTATTTTATTCTCTTGAGAACGATTGCAAACTATCCAATATCTTTTCTTCTCAGATCTCAACATTGCGTCAAAAGAAAGCTGATGGAACCCAAGAAGAAGAAAGCGAAGAAATAAAAAGTATTAAAAAGGTAAACTCAGGACGTGAATCCTGATG